GGTATCACGCTCGCACACCTCATCCAAACTTACCGGCGGCCTTGGGGCGTCCAGAGTTGCCATGGTCATCCTCCGCTGGATTCTAACCCGAAGGGGTACTTGCATCGTGATCGATTCAACTGACTTCATTTACACCCACACTAGAAAACCCGACCGAAAACCCTATGTTTGAGGAGAGGCTTCGGCAGTAACCAGAGGCGACAGAATCTGGGTCACATATTCGAGCCGGACCGCGCCAGAAATGATCCGCGCCTTGTACGACAATCACCGTGGGAAACAAAGCCGTGGACCTCACTGTGAGACGGCACTTATACGGCGGCCTGTTGGGCTTCCGGTCCGCCGGCCGACCTGTTCCGCATTCGAGTTTTGGCCCGCCACCGGAGTGTCCGTTGAGCCACAATGTAGCCAAGCCAGTTACGTGGAACTCGGGCGTCTGAACCCTCCGAAAATAAGCGGGACTAAGATCGTATCCCCACTGTAGGACCAGAGTCGGCCGAACCGGTGTTCCACCCGCCCTCCGTCGCGTCTCGATACGAATTCTGTCGTAGAAAAAAGCGTGCTCGTTCTGCAAACGCACGTTCCTCCTTCATTATGCCTTTCCTGGGGAGATGGTATCCACCCGCCGTACACCAAATCCTCCCAAAACCTTTTGGCCAGCTATATATGCACTGTGCCCAAGGAAAAACTAAAAAACAAAAAAAGCAGTGGCATGTCGCGACATTCGCCCCGTCGAACTGGAAGTCGCCTTGCCTGGCGTATGAAAACACGCCCCAAAGCGCATCCGTCAGCCGCTTTCAACAGGCTTTACACTATGTTTGTGGGGGGGTGACCTGTCCCGCCGGAAACAGTTGCAACTGCCACGCGGAACCAATAAAAAGAGAAGGTCGACTGACGCAAGTCTCCTTGTGAAGTGCTATCGTCGTAGGCCGTCCTTCCCCACGGGCTCCCAGCTTGCAGGCCAAACACAATCGCTAAGTCTGCCTTGTATCTCCGGTTGCCGCGCATGATAGGCGGCGTCTCCCTAGGTCCTCCTGCACCGGTCGGAAAAGCCGGTAATGTTGCCACTCGCTTACTGTTGCCGAAAAAGCCATTCCATCTCCCCCATGTTTGTCCGCGCGTTTGCCGGTCATATTACCAGCCACGGTCAGGAATTAATTTTGCAGGATCAGCTGGGTGTCGGTATGCCCCCACAATCGCCAAGCCATTGTGCGCCGTACAAGCGCAGGCTTCTTGCCTCTATTGCCCGTGGCCGCATCTCCTGGATACGATTCAACCAAAGACAACAAGACTCATCCGGTAAAAGGGATCTTACCACAAAAGGAAAATCAACATACCTTGAAGAGTCTCAACTCCAAAGGCCCTCCACTCGTTTCCAACGTCCTGGACGCAACTGCTACCACAGTCCGTCCGCGTCCACACTTCCTCGCTGCCGCTCGCGGGATCCAACACCATTTCTGCGGACAACTCCCCTAAATCTATCCTAGCCGCGACAAAGTCCAACAGCGTCCGCGTTCTCACATCTACGGTCAAAAAACATCGCCAGCATGGAGTCTGCCTCTGCCCGTTTGTCGCTCCAGGTCGATGGCGGCCAAATCGCCCTAAATTATGCTTTAAGGCAAGTACGCAAAAGGAACCAAGCGCAACGTCTCCCTAAGGGGCCAATTGCCAACCCCATGAATCTTTGAGGCGGTGTGATCTTCTCATGGCCAGGAGCGTCGCACAGTTGTACGGATCCCGTCTGCCTAACAGTTTGTCAGTGTCCTTTCACCGCGCCCCGACCAGGATGTTGGTCGTGTCCAGCGACACCCGCATGCTCCGCTTTTTTCAGGTAGCTCCGACTCCCGGGCAGCCGCTAGCTGGACTCGAACACCTCCCGCACTTTGTCGTGCAGGATCAGCTGGGCGCGGTAACTACCTGACAATGTCTCTCTTGGCAAGGGCCGTGTCTCCACCTCATCCCCAGGCCTACTTTCCACCGGAGTGTCGAAGTCAGCCTGCGGCCTTGCCTCGGCTGTCGACTCACCTTGTCGTGGAGACTGAGCAGCAGCGACCGTCTGCCAGCAGGCTGTGTGGCCGGTGACACGCTGTCCCGGCCTGTTGTCCGGTGTCAGTAGAACTCGCGAAAGCGGCGTCTCGGACCAACCGTGCCCGCAGCGTAGCCAGCAGGACCGTGGTAGCAGGTGTCCCGCCCCACGTGGTCGCCAGGTACACACGAGGTCCGCTTCCTCCCAGAGACCCCTCTGATGCGGACGCCCTCTCCCAGCTACTATCAATCATTCCTCGCTATCATCCTTGTTGAGCCCCAAGTATAGCTGACCATGTCGCTGAAGTCCCAGTTTCCGGCCAGATTTCTAGGACTCAACCGGTCCCAAAACGAGGAGAAACCAAACATGGCCGTCCCCTACATAATGCCCCTGGGCTTCATCGACCAGCCCACCGAGGACGGGGCCACCTTCATCCTGACCAACCCCGAGGACTCCCTGGGTCTCCAGCCAGGCACTCCCGTAACCGTCTGGCGCTACTCGCCCGAACTCCTGGCCGTCGCAAAGCTCGAGGCGCCGTCAGCGACGTGGGCTACACCACCGCAACCTTCACCACCACCGAGACTCAAACGAACCCTCGGTGGACCAACGGCCTGCCCATCATCAGGCCGGCCGCCCCGGTCTTCCTGGCCCTGGCAGACTCCTTCGAGCCAGACCCGGAACGCAGGCTGACCCAGGAGCAGGCCGAATCCATGCGTCAGATAGCCCAGCGCTACGCAGAACTGGCCCAGGCCCAGAACGGGTAGCCAGAACGGGTAGATAGAGAGTAACCAGACCAGAACGCCAGGGCGGAGTAACCGCCACCCTTGACGAACCACAGCATACTGATAGAACATAAGGAAAAGAGAAATTGAGTACAAAGATGGCCAGACCCACAGAGGCTTGGGACCAGGGACGTATCCTGAACGGCATGCTTTACTGCGCATCATGCGGCAGCCCCATGCTCAAGATTGGGACCAACTACCTCTGCCCCACCGGGGTCGCAAAAACAGAGACATCCTGTCCCACCAAGCCAATCAACGCCCAGGAACTGCTCCAGGTCGCCGTGGCCCACATCATCGACCGGGTCATCAATCCCCAAACACTGGAACAGGTCTCCAGCATCATCCAAGACGAGTACGGCGCCAAGGCCCGCCGGTCCCAGGAAACCCTGGCCCGGCCGAGGCCGCCATCGCAGCGATGAACGCGCTCAAGAACCAGGCCGTCCACAACGTGGAACATCACGACCAGCCGTACAGCGAAGTTGCCGGAGAAATAGAGCAGTTGAACCAGAACACCATCGCCCTTTCTCACGAGGCCCGAACGTCCCGCCGGGAAATCGACGCCTACAACTTCGTCACGACCAGGGACCGGATTGCAGCAAGCGCCGTGGACCCAGAGACATACCTGGGCCAGGCTTCCACTGAAGATACCAGGGAACTGTTTGAGATGTTCGTGCGGAGCATCGAGGTTGGAAGGGACTGCGTCACCATCAAATTCACGGACAACGTGCCAGACACCGGTCAACCAGACCAGCGTCTCACAGAGCGCATACCACTTAGCTGAAGCGCGTCACCCACCCTCAGAGGAAGGGTAGGTCATCAAATTCGTCCGGCCCGCCTCTCTCAGGATCAGACCGCCGCTCTTGAAACACAATGGTCGGGTCATCCTCACTGGCTGACGCCATCACGTCGAACCCGTCAACCGCGTCCACCTTCTTCAAATCCCCAGCGGCCGACGACTGGTACTCCCGGGCAACTCCAGGCATAGCCTGCCAGTCCAGGGAGTTCAGGGGCGCTGTCCCCAACTCCTCGACCTGGGACAACAGCTGAAACTCCCGCAGAGAAATCAGCCGGGCCAGCAACCTGGCTGCGTCCGGGTTCAAAAATCCACTATCGTTATTCTCTTCGCCGTCACTGTTATAATTGTTGCAACGGCCGTTATTTGCGATTCCCATTCTTAACGTGATACCATCAATGTAGCGAGCTACATAACGGCTATATCATCTAAACTCCTTTATCCAGATTCTATAACGTAGAGTATAACAATTACCGTCGGGAGGCAAGGCCCAAATGTCAGAAGATAGCCAGGTTTCTCTCAACGCACCTACCAATGAAGAGTCGGGACAGACCCCCGGGCAACCCCCTGAAAAGGCGCAGGTGCAGCGTGTGGATATAGACCCAGCTCCCAGCGTGCAGGAAGGCCCGGTGCCGGCACAGGCATTCGAGGAACTGGAACCCGCGGATATAGGCTCCCTGCTCCGGGACCTGCGGGGTCGGCTGTCGCTACGCCAACTGGAAGAGGCAACCGGCATCACCTACTCGTATCTCTCAAACATCGAGCGAGGCAAACGGCAGCCAGGATTCAAGATCCTCTCGAAGCTGGCCGCCTACCACGACGTTCCCATGAGGGACCTGCTGGCCGCCGCCGGCTACCCGCCGGAGCCGTCTGCGGACGGAAGACATACCACCGCAGACATCCAGCGCAGCTTCCGCTTCGTGGTGGACGACCCGGAGCTCGAGGCGTTCGAAAAGCCCACCGAGGCTGAGGCCATCGACCTGAAACGGTACGTCGTCCAACTCTATGAGCACTACACCGGCAGGAACTCCTGGACCGGGAGCGAAACGCATGACCAACCGACAGGAACTTCGTCCCGCATTCTTCTATGGCCGGGTATCCACCGACGGCCAGGACCGGGAACTCTCCATCGGAGAGCAGAAGGAACGCGTCAAAGAGCAGGCGCCAAGAGAGGGGTACCGGCTCATCCATGAATTCGAGGAGGTCAAGTCTGCGGCAACAGATAAGCGACCGGTGTTCCTGGAAATGGTGAGCCTGGCTATGTCGCCCAACCATCCAGCAGAAGCGATCTTCTTCAACGACCTGTCGCGGGCCTTCAGGAACGACGAAGACTTCTACATGTACCGCAGGATGCTAAGGGAAGCCAACGTCAGAATCTTCACCTATGAGGAGGGCGAGCTCAAGAACGACGACCAGAGCCAGCTCATGTTCGGCTTCAAGTCCCTGCTGAACTCCCAAGTACCACGCAAGACGGCACGGGAGACCCGGCGTGGGCAGTTCGGGGCCACCCGGCGCGGCTTCTACCTCGGGCCCGGAGTCTTCGGATACGAGAAATACAAGGTGATGGACGGGGGCGTCGAACACACAAAGCTCCGACCCGATCCGACCCAGTGGGAACATCTCCTGTCGATGTTCAGGATGGCCCTGGATAACCACGGCGGCCGACGAATAGCGGGTCACCTGAACAGCCTGGGCGTGAAGACTATCAATGGCAACGATTGGATCGAATCGACCGTGATGAGTGTCCTGAGAAACCCCGCCTGCCGGGGCAAGACCCACCGGGGCGAAAAATCAAAGTCACCATACCTGGACCGGTCTGAGCAGGTATTCTGTGAGAATGCCCACGAGGCCGCATTCAGCGAGGAGGACTACCAGACCATCGAGCGCCTCATCAAGCTCAGGACCACCAACCCTGGGGGGCCACGGGCCCATTCCAGCCCGAACCCCCTCAGCGGCCACGTAAAATGCGGGCTATGCGGGTCGAACATGACCTTGAACAGGACCAAGGGAATCACAAACCTGATCTGCTCCAACAAACGCAAGAATGGGGCAGGAGCGTGTCCAGCCAGGAACACACGCCTGGACATCCTGATGCCCAGGGTCGTGACCGCCCTCCTGGAACGGATACTCACAGAGGAAACACTGCGCCAACAGGTGGACCTGGTTGCGGAGACCAACCGGGAGTACCTTGTGGAACAGCAGACGGCCAGGGAGACCATAGAGAGGAAATATCGAGGGTACCAGGAAGCAGATAAGCAACCTGGTAGATGCCATCGAAGGCAGGGGTGGAAACCCCCAGATTTACGAGCGCCTTGACGAACGCGAGAGCGAACTGAAGCAGCTCACCGTCCAACTCGAAGGTCTCGACGAGAAACTCACTGGCCATCTGGAGTTCCTGAACGCTCCAGACAGGATAGTGTCCTGCGCCCTGGACCTGAGGACCTACATCGAGTCGGAGGACCCAGAGGTAGCCCGCATGTTCATCCTCTCCTTCGTCAGGAGAGTTGAGGTGCTGGGGCCGGAAGCCATCATCCACTACACGATGCCGCTACCGCATGACGTGACGGGAGAAAACAAGACAACTGACACCGTGAAGATAGGGAAGAACGGCACCCGCCAGGAAAGTTGGCTTTCACCCACGTCCGTGGGGATGAACCTTGATGTGGGTAGCGTCGATCATCAACCACTCAAAGTCCGGGTCATCGATGACCCGGTCCAGCAGTTGCTCCCAAACGCCGCGGTCCCGCCAGCGACAAAAGCGGCGATGGGTGTTCTTCCAGTCCCCATAGTCCGGCGGCAGGTCCCGCCACGGTGCCCCAGTCCGCAGATTCCAAAACACCGCGTTCAAAAACAACCGGTTGTCCTTGGCCGGCCGCCCTCTTTTCCCTGCGCCGCCAGGCAAATGAGGTCTCAAAAGTTCCCAAACCTGGTCCGAAATATCGTGACGCCGATGCGACGGTGTCATACATCCACCCCCCACGCTCACATTCTCAGCAGAAATCTACCATCAAGTTGCTATTTTGACGACACCCCTTAGTGTTCAACCTGCGGTCACAAGAAACTTCCAACCTTGCCAACACGCTTTTAATTCAATTAGGGGAGCTTTGAAAGTTCGGGCCCTAACCCCTTGCCATATCGTTAAAAATGGTGCATACTTTTCGGCGTTAGATGTACTTCCTGGTGGTTCTAGCGGGGTGGTCCCACCCGTTCCCATCCCGAACACGGTAGTGAAACGCCCCAGCGCCGACGATACTGCTTTGGTAACGGAGTGGGAAAATAGGTCACCGCCGGGAAGTATTTCTTAAAGCCCCAAGCGCCGGCATTCCCCCTTCCGCTGATCCCACAGTGATGGATATTCCAACGCCGGTCGCAACAGTCCCCTTCAATTTTGCCTCTTTTCCGCCGAATATCAAAGAGTAGTTAAACTTGTGCGGTGCCGGGTAGGGGTAAACAGCTTTACATTAAACGAATGTGTGCAATATAATTCAGGTGAATATGGTGTCGGGCAATTTCAAATACAACTAAATAGGCGTTGCTTCGCTTGGAAACCAGCCGATAACCTCATCACTGACACGGGAAGTTTGAAGCAACCCAGTATTACCCGACAGGAGCGGTATTATGGGAAGCAGATTCGAAAAGTTCTCGGAACGGGCTCGCAGAGTTCTTTCGCTGGCTCAGGAAGAGGCCCAGCGTTTTAACCACAACTATATCGGTACGGAACATATCCTGCTTGGACTTGTCCGGGAAACGGAGGGCGTCGCCGCAAGGGTCCTCTCCGGTCTGGGCGTCGACCTCAGTAAAGTCCGCTCCGCCGTTGAATTTATCATCGGACGGGGAGAAAAACCCGCCCAGGGGGAGATAGGGCTCACCCCTCGAGCCAAAAAGGTGGTTGAACTGGCGGTCGATGAAGCCCGCCGCATGAACCACACTACATCGGTACCGAACACCTCCTTATCGGTTTGCTCCGTTGAATGAGCGACGGTGGCGTTTGACCGCACGTGCGTGCTGGAAGCCTGGGGTAACCCTTGAAAACAAGGTTCGTGAGCTCGAACCCATCCGCTCCGCTCAGCAACTCAGCAACCGCACTTCGTCGGGTAACTCGCGGAGAGCCGCTCAGACATGTCCCGCACCGGTACCCGTACTCCTACCCTGGATCAACTGGGTATTGACCTCACCAACGCTGCCCGCGATAGCAAGCTTGATCCGCAGTCGTGCGCCGTACCGCGATTCCGAAATCCAGCGTGTGGTCCAGATTCTTAGCCGCCGCACCAAGAACAACCCGGTGCTGGTGGGCGAAACGCCACGGAGCGGTGGTGGCAGAGACTGCCATCGTCGAGGCCTTGGCCCAGCAGATTTACGGCGGAGATGTTCCCGAAACCCTGCAGGGAAAGCGACTGGTTACCCTGGATATGGGCGCGCTGGTTGCCGGCACCAAGTACAGGGGTGAGTTCGAAGAGCGCCTCAAGGAGGTTATCGAAGAGATTAAGACCGCCGGCAATTGCGTCCTCTTTATTGATGAGGTGCACACCTTGGTGGGCGCTGGCGCCGCTGAAGGCGCAGTTGATGCCTCTAATATATTGAAGCCCTCCCTGGCCCGCGGCGAAATCCAATGCATCGGGGCCACCACCCTCGACGACTACCGCAAGTATGTTGAGCGCGACCCCGCTCTCGAACGGCGCCTGCAACCGGTACGGGTAGAAGAGCCCAATGGTGATGAAACCATTCAAATTCTGATGGGTGTCAAGGGTAACTACGAGGACCACCACAACGTTAACTTTACCGACGCCGCGATACGCGCCGCTGCCACACTGGCAACCCGTTTCATTCCTGACCGGTTCCTGCCCGACAAGGCTATCGACCTCTTGGACGAAGCTGGCTCCCGTGTGCGCCTGCGGGGCAGCGTTACCCCTACGTCGGTCAAAGATGCCATGGAAGTACTGGACAAAGTCCGGCAGGAAAAAGGACGAGGCCATTGCTTCCCAGCAATACGAGGTTGCTGCTGAACTGCGCGACCGCGAGCTTAACCTGAACCAGGACCTGGACACTTTGAAAGAGGAGTGGCAGGAAGACCGGTCCAAGGGTCGCACCACCGTTACTGAAGAGGATATCGCGGAAGTGGTCAGCATGTGGACCGGTATTCCGGTAACCCGCCTGGCCGCGGAAGAGACTGAGCGGTTGATCCACATGGAAGAGGACCTGCACAAGCGCATCATTGGGCAGGACGAGGCCATCGTAAACATCTCCAAGGCAGTCCGCCGCGCTCGCGCCGGTCTGAAGGACCCTCGCCATCCCATTGGCGTGTTCATGTTCCTGGGCCCCACCGGCGTTGGCAAGACCGAGTTGGTTCGGGCAATGGCCGAGGTAATGTTCGGCCACGAGGACAACATGATCCGCCTGGATATGTCCGAATTCCAGGAACGCCACACGACAGCTCGCCTGATCGGCGCACCTCCTGGCTACGTGGGTTACGACGAGGGCGGTCAGTTGACCGAGGGTGTCCGCCGCAAGAATTACTGCGCTATCCTGCTGGACGAGATTGAGAAGGCCCATCCGGAAGTCTTCAACATCCTGTTGCAGATCTTTGACGCCGGTCAATTGACCGACGCCCGGGGTCGGCGGGTTGACTTCCGCAACTCCATCATTGTAATGACCAGCAACTTGGGCTCCGACCTTATTAAGCGGGATACCTCCCTTGGTTTCGGCGTAAAGTCGGAAAATGCCCAGTCATCCCAGCAGTCCTACGAGCGGATGAAGGGACAAGGTAATGGACGAGGTCAAGCGCTTCTTCCGTCCCGAGTTCCTGAATCGTATCGATGCCACGGTGGTCTTCCACCAGTTAGACCAGGATCAGATACACTCCATTGTAGACCTGATGATCAGACTGGTGCAGCAGGAACTGGTAGACAAGAACATCACTCTGGAAATCACCGACGCGGCCCGTGTGCACCTTGGTGAAAAGGGCTTCGACCCCGTGCTGGGTGCCCGTCCGTTGCGCCGGGTTATCCAGAACGAAGTTGAGGATACCCTGTCTGATGAATTGCTCAGTGGCCGACTGAATGACGGCGACACGGCAGTGGTTGATTGCGAAGATGACGTGATTGTTATCCGCGCCAAGGCACCGGCCATGGATCCGGCAACAGTTACTTCAGCCGACTAAACCCCATAGATCAGACCCCATAAGCCTTTAACTGACAGCAGGCCCCTTAAAACGGGGCCTGTTGTTGTTATAATGGGCCGGTTTAAGGAGGCATTCTATGAACCGGTCCAAGGGACAACAGCGAACCCAGTTCATGTGTCGGGAGTGCGGCTACGAAAGCACTCGCTGGCTCGGATTCTGCCCTGCCCCCTCTTGCGGTTCTTCCCTGCCGTTACAGGAAATCGAGGTTGCATCAGGAACTTCTTCCCGTCCCTCTTGGTTGCCATCCTCTGGGGAGCCTCCCCAGGAACTGTCTCGCCTCAGTCCTGAAGACCGCCGTCGCATTGAACTCCCGTCCGAGGAATTCAACCGCGTCCTGGGTGGTGGTATCGTGCCTGGCTCCGTTGCATTGCTTGCCGGGGAACCCGGAGTAGGCAAGTCAACCCTGCTGCTCCAGTTGGCCCGCTACCTGTCCGAGAGCGGTCGGCAGGTGGCGTATCTGAGTGGCGAGGAGTCTCCCCACCAAATCAAGCTGCGTTCCGAACGTCTGGGGTTCGCCGGCGACCGGGTCTTCCTGATAACCGAGACCGACGTGGATGCTGCCCTGTTACGCTTGGAAGAATGCCAGCCCTTCTTGGCCATAGTGGATTCGATCCAGACCCTCTATACCCAGGACGCCCCCTCCGGCCCTGGCAGCGTGGCCCAGGTTCGGGAGTGCGGCTTGAAGTTGCTGCAGTGGGCCAAGCACCGCAATGTACCCGTTTTCCTGGCTGGCCACATGACCAAAGACGGTTCCCTGGCTGGCCCCCGAGTACTGGAGCACATGGTGGACCTGGTTATGTATCTGGAGGGCCAGGACATCAGCTCCTACCGGGTGCTGCGCAGTGGCAAGAACCGGTTTGGCTCTACCACCGAAATCGGCGTATTTGAAATGACGGGTCAGGGGTTGGTAGAGGTGCCCGATCCTTCTCGCGCCCTCCTGGCCCAGCGTTACGAACTTGGAGTGGGCGCCGCCCTGGTTCCGGCCCTGGAAGGCAGCCGGCCTCTCATGATGGAGATCCAGGCTCTTACTTCACCGGCATTTGCGCCGGTCCCCCGCCGCGTGGCCAACGGTGTGGACTATAATCGTCTGCTCATGCTGGCGGCAGTGGCTTCCCGCCGGTCGGGACTGGAACTGGCCGGACAGGATATAATCGTCAACGTTGCCGGTGGCTTCCGCGTCAATGAACCCGCCGCTGACTTGGGTGTTATCCTGGCGTTGGCCTCAAGCCTGTACAATCAGCCGCTGGACCCGCAATTGGTGGCCATAGGCGAAGTGGGGTTGAGCGGGGAATTGCGCACTGTCCCCCAGGTAGAGCGTCGCGTGGTGGAATCTGCACGCCTCGGGCTTTCGCGCTGCATACTACCGGAGACCGCCAGAGGCGACTTGAGGAACATCCCCGAGATAGAGCCGGTCTTTGTGAAGACAGTGCGACAGGCATTGAGAGCCGCTCTAGGTTCCGGGCGAAGCGGGCCCAATCCCGAAGAATACTCGTTCAAGGACATGGAAACGGATGAGCTGGACTTAAGCTAAGCGTTCAATTCGCCAGTCTTGAAACCATACTCATCCCTTGCCTCAAGCTGAAGCCAAAGGCGAACGCCCCGGAAACTTCCGGGGCGTTCTGTATCGATAGGCCGTCAGCACCCAGTTACTTCAACTCGTGCCTACTTGCTGAAATACATGGTATTGGCCCTCACCCGTGGCGCGTAGTGAGGCGTCCATTCCAGGCCTTCGGACATCGCGTAAGCCGAAACCACTTGGAAGCCGTGCACGAAGTGGAAATTGTCGTGCACGTAGTCGGCAAGTACTTCCATCCGCTGGCGGCGCAGTTCGCCAGTAGGCGTTGCGTTGGCCTCTTCCATCAAATCCTCAAAGTCTTGGTAGCAGACTCCGCTGGACCGGCTAAAGCAACTGTTTCTTAGCACAGCCTGGCGGGAGAAGTCCAGGGACTCCGTAGAAGTGGGGCCACCGCTGATTTGCATGGAAGTGAAGTTGGGCGGACCGGGCCCCAGGTTGGCGCACTTCGCCCGCAGATCAGCGCCGGGGGCATTGTCGAACTCTTCGCGGGTACGCTGGTGTCCGCAATTGGAACGTCCGGCGGAAGCGTATACGCTGGACTCCACCACGTTCAGATCGGCATTGATCCCCACATCCAGCCAGGAAGTTACGTAGGCTTCGCCCACTTCCACGTCCTTGGGAACGCGGTTTGAGCGCATGGTCAGGACTATCTTGTGCTCTGGGTCGTAGTTGGCTGCCGCCAGCAACTCCCTCGCACGCTCCGGGTTGTAAGGGTGGGGCGCCGAATTCCGCTCTGTGATTCCCACTGTCCCGGTCTGGGCAATGTTGCCGTAGCAGTCCACTAGCCCGTCAAAAATCACCCCCAGGATGTTCTGGCAATCAACTGCAATGTTTAGGGCTTCCCGAACCTCCGGCTTTCTCAGCTCTGGGTCGTGCACTGTGTCAATGGAGAACCGGAATACCTCGTTATTTGTGGATGACTTCCACTTGGGCACCCGGTCCCGGTCTTCAAAGGCGATTTCCGTCCAATCGGCTTCGCCCGCGACCATCATGGAAGCGCGCACTTGGGGTTCGTTGCGCCACTGCTGGATGACAGTGTTTATGCTCGGAGCGCTGGAGAAGCTGGTTGCCGGATTTGGCTTGTAGTTTTCATAGGCCTCCAGCTCAATTTCTACGCCGGAGCGCCACTCTACGATCTGGTACGGCCCCAAGCCGACGCTGTGCCGTTCGATTTCATCTTCGGTAGCCTGCTCGAACCAACCCACATCCTGGAACTTGGTGAAGATGGTAGTGCGAGGCAGGATGGGACATGCCTTGCCGCAGACCACGTCCAACGTAAGTTCGTCCACCACTTCGCCGGCGATAACGCCATGGAAGCTGAAGTCGTTGGAGTTGTAGTTGCCGCTGGTTTCCTCATCTCCGAAAAAGTCAATCCAGAACTTGGCCTGGGTGGCATTCCACGGGGCGCCATTGTGGAAGGCAACCCCCTCTCGTAGTTGAAAACGCCAGCGGTCGGCCTCAAGTTGCTCCCAACCCTCGATGCCGGTGAGGCCGACTACCTGGAAATTGTTGTGGTCGTCAATCCAGGTCAGAGGGTCACTGACCATGTCATCGCAGATTGTGTTCTGGATGTTGCCGCCGCAGTTGGGGCTGGCGGCGCCAATGGTTGTAGGCTCTTCGTTGGTCACGAAGACCAATCTGTCTCTGGCGCTTACCACCGGGCCCTGCGGGACGGCCGTGGGCTGCGGCGCCGTCGTGGGCGCGGCCGCGGCCTGGGCCGGTTTGGTGTCTGTGGATTCAGTCGTCTTGGCCATGGTTTCCGCCGGCTGGGCCTCCATTGATTCGGCGGGCTTTGCCATGGATTCCTGGGGAGCAGGAGCCGACGTAGCGGGTATTTCCAGTGCCGCCGGTTGGGCTATTTCTGGCGCTGCTGCTGGCTCCGCCGCGGGGGCCGCTTCCTCGGCCGCCCCGCAAGCAATGGCAATTATGGCCAGCAGTGCCATTAAGGGTAGGAGTCCCTGGCGCAACAGCTTTGTTTTCGCCGATACCAGTTTCATCGTTTCACCCCTCCAGATGGCATAACTTGTAACGAGATTCGTTATTGTAAAACAAAACTATTATTGGTACCTGTTATTCACCTCCAATTATTAACGATAAATACACAAGTTTGGGACATACACATTGTTACTTCAGCAAGATGGTATTGTCAAATTGGTTCTTCAATCTTAATTGGCAAAAGTCGGAGCCTTGTTCAGTCCTGAAATAGCTCCAAAGAAAGGCGCCCCGGACATTGTCCGGGGCGCTGCCATTACCGTATAGCGTCAGCAGGGAGTTCCTGCCAATTTATTAGTTGCTGAAGCTCATGGTGTTGGCCCGGATGCGCGGCGCATAGTGCGGGTCCCATTGCAGCTCTGCGGACATTCCGTAAATCTGAACTACCAGGAAGTTGGGCACGAAGTGGTAGTTGTTATGCACGTAATCACCCAACCATTCCATTCGTTCCCTGCGCAGCTCACCGGTAGGCGTGGCAATTGCTACTTCCAGGGCATCCTCAAAATCCTGGTAGCAAACACCGCTGGAACGGCTGTAGCAGCTATTACGCAGGATGGCCTGCCGCGAGAAGTCCAGGGACTCGGTGGAGGTAGCCGGCGCCGTTATGTGCATGGAAGCAAAGTTGGGCATGCCCGGCCCCAGGGCGAGGCACTTCTGGTGCAGGTCCGCCCCGACGGCGTTGGCGAAGTCTTCCCTGGTACGGCCATGTCCGCAATTAGACCGACCGGTGCCAGCATGGATTGAAGACTCGACTACCTGGAGGTTGGCATTGATGCCAACATCCCGCCAGAAGGTTACCACTGCCTCGGCGTACTCCACGTCCTTGGGGACTCGCTGGGAGCGGATGTGCAGCTTGATCTCGTTTTCGGGATCGTAGCCTGCCTCGGCCAGCAATTCCCGGGCGCGCTCCGGGTTATAGGGGTAACCGGCAGAATTCTCCGGGGTTATGCCCACCGTGCCGGTCTGGGCGATGTTGCCATAACATTCGAGCACCCCTTCGAAGACCTCCTCCATGACGGTCTCGCAGTCGATGGCCAGGTTCAGCGCTTCACGCACTGCCTTCTTCCGCAATTCAGGGTGATGCACCGTGTCTATGGCATATACGTAAGCTTCGTTGTTGGTGGCTGACTTCCATTGGGGCGCAAGTTCGCGGTCCTGGAAAGCGATCTCAGCCCAGTCCGCTTCACCTGCTGCCAGCGCCGAGGCGCGTACTAGCGGTTCATTGCGCCATTGCTGGATCACGTTTGGAATCGTCGGCGCCCTGGAAAATCCCGTAGCCGGGTTCGGGTTGTAGTCTTCATAGGCCTCCAGGACCACTTGCAGGCCGGTATCCCATTCTACTATCTGGTAGGGACCCAGTCCCACCGTCATCCGATGAATTTCCGCCGGCAGGTCATCTGGCAGGTCGGCTATCGAAGTCGCTCCTGCCTCCTCCAGGAACCATCCCACGTCCTGGAACTTGGTAAAAATGGTGGTGCGAGGCAGAATGGGGCACGCTTCGCCGCAGACTACGTCCAGCGTGTAGTCATCAACCACTTGTCCTCCGATAACCCCGTGGAAGCTGAAGTCGTTGGAGTTGTAGTGGCCGCTGGTCTCTTCGTCGCCATAATAGTCGATCCAGAAGGCGGCCTGCTCGGCGTTCCATGGAGCGCCGTTGTGGAAGGTAACGCCCTCACGCAGTTTGAACTGCCATCGATCAGGTCCAATCTGTTCCCATCCCTCAATCCCGGTCATGCCGACTACCTCGAAGTTGTTGTAGTCATCAATCCAGGTCAAGGGGTCGCTGGCCAGGTCATCGCAGACGGTGTTCTGTATGTTGCCGCCGCAGTTAGGGCTGGCCGCGCCCAGCGTAGTTGGTTCTTCCCCGGTCAGGAAGATAATCGTGTCGCGGGCGGGCGTTGAGGGTGCTGCGGGCACGGCCGTGGGTGCGGGAGCAGCCGTGGGTGCGGCAGCAGGGCTCTCTGCCTGGGGAGCGGGGGCATCCGGCTGTGCCTGTTGTTCAGCCTGGGGCTCAGCCGTTGCCGGAATTGCCAGCGCCTGCGGGCGGGCTGTATCGGGGGCTGTCGTAGGGGCGGCCGATGCCTGTTGCGCCTCCTCAGAGGTGGACGCGCCGCAGGCAACCGCAAGTAAAGCCAACAACGCTACAATCGATAATAGAGCGCGGCTAAACCTGTGTGTTCTGGTGGATCCCGTGGCTGTCATACCTATCCTCCTTGTTTGATGATATTACTGACTCTTTTCGTAACTATTGCTCGCCAAATAGTAAATTGCCTTCGATACCTCCTCTTACTCTGCAAATATGCGTTCTTTGATAAGTTCATGCATTTATATAATAGTTATCATTCAAAGTCAAGGTGAACTTGCAGTTAGGCAACGGGAACCGGACTTAGGATTGAGCGATTCAAGAAGTGTCTGAAATCTTGAATTGCATGTTCTCTGCTATAAGTTTGTACCCTTTATGCGTTTATGCGGAGGCTAGAGTGTGGACGCATAGGGAAAGTAGCTAACGGGTTATTCGAAAATTCTGCTGTCCGGTTGTCATGCCGGACCATCCACCGTCGGCGAATGTGCCTGTACCCAGGTCAGCCATTTATTAAGAATGCCAATCATTTTCAATCAGTCGGCAGCAGGTAACAGTCATCGATTTTGGTTGACGTAACCATATCTGGACTGTTAGATTCTGTAGACTAAAATTTGCGCAAAGCGAGGTAAACCGGGATGTCTAGACGCCTTTTGAAGGAGTTGGAGCGGTCCTACGGTTTCGACGAAGTTGCCATTGTTCCTGGCGATGTGACCATCAATCCCGAATTGACATCCACCAAAATGTCCATTGGGGAATGTACCTTTGAAGCGCCGATGCTGGCTTCTGCAATGGACGGCACCGTATCGCCCAGGTTCGCTGTCATGATGCACGAAATGGGCGGGTTGGGCGTGCTCAATGGGGAAGGCCTGTACTCCCGCTATGAGGACCCCTATTCGATTCTCGAAGAAATTACCTCCATGCCCCAGTCTGAGGTGACCGAGTATCTTCAGCAGGTTTACTCCGAGCCGGTTAAAGAGAACCTGATCGGCCAGCGGGTAGAGGAAATCAAGAGCGCAGGTTCCACCTGCGCGATTGCATTTACGCCCCAGAACACCAAGCGAATGTCTCCCCTTGCCGTGGAGGCCGGCGCGGACATAATAGTGGTACAGTCCACCGTTACCACCGCACGGCACCAGTCCCGCAGCTACCGTGGCCTGGTATTTTCGGAAATGATTGAATCTCTAAGTGTTCCCGTGGTGGTCGGCAACTGTGTCAGCTACGGCGTGGCTCTCGAGTTGATGGAAACCGGTGTGGACGGCATATTGGTGGGGGTCGGCCCTGGCGCCGCCTGTACCACTCGTGAGGTAACCGGAGTCGGCGTTCCCCAGGTCAGCGCTACCCTGGAATGCGCTGCCGCTCGCCAGGACTATTTTCACCGCACCGGCAGGTATGTCAACGTGATTACCGACGGGGGTATTCGAACCGGTGGCGATCTGTGCAAGGCCATTGCCAGCGGCGCCGACGGCGTCATGGTGGGCACTCCCTTTGCACAGGCCGAAGAGGCCCCGGGTCGCGGTTACAACTGGGGTATGGCCAATGCCCATGCCGAGTTGCCCCGAGGTACCCGCATAAAGGTAGGTACCAAGGCGACACTGAAAGAAATAATGTACGGTCCCACTTCTGTCACCAACGGCACCCAGAATCTGGTGGGCGCCTTGCAGGTGGCCATGGGCATGTGCGGCGCCTACACTATCCGGGACTTTCACCAGGCGGAAATGGTCATCGCGCCAGCAATCAAGACCGAGGGCAAGTATTTCCAGTTGGCCGAGTAGCAATGGTTTAGTGTTTTCTCTTGCTTGCTTGGATAAGCAGGTCTCGCGAGATTGGCTTGGCAATGAAGCCATTGTTTTGACTGCTGATCGCAATTTCCTTAAACCGCAAGACAGGGAGGTTATGCGAAATGGTAACCGGAGCCGGAACTATCCAGATTTTGGATCCCAGGCCGGAGGAAGTTCCCGAGGAGCGGGGAATTAGCTCGGAGATCGCCAGCCTGGAAGGTAAGGTGGTCGGTTTGCTGGAAAACAGGAAATACCATGCCGATTCCTTCCTGCTGGAACTGCAAAGAGTACTTGAGGCCGAGTACAAGGCAAAGAAGGTTGTATACGCTTCCAAGTTCACTTTCAGCATGCCCTGCGCCGACGAAACCATAGACTCATTGGTGGAGGAATGCGATGCCGTTGTGCACGGCATTGCCGATTGAGGCTCCTGCACGGCGTGGGGTCTCCACGACACAGTAGTTACCGAATCCCGCGGGGTTCCCTCGGTAAGCGTAATCACCAGCGCCTTTACCCGGGCCGCTCATGCCCGGGCTTCTTCATTGGGGATGCCCGGCGTCCGGATTGTTGTGCTGCCCAGTCCTCTGGCTTCCCGCAGCGTTGAGGAAGTGCAACAGATGGCCCACGAGTACGCTGACGAGATTGTGGGGTTGCTGACCAAAGCCTAGTTTCTCTTGGGTGATTGAGGGCCTTTTTATTCCGCCGGAGACAGGTGCTCCGGCGGTTATCTTGATGTGGGTGAGTGGGGCTGGGCATTTTTTGTCCTTCTCTGGCCGGCGAAATAGTTTCGCTCTTTCCCACGCCAAACCGGGAGCAATATGCAATGAATCCTTTAACCATCCAGTCCCGGCGGGTGGAGGTTGATGCCTCCTTTGATGCCATCCAGGATTACTATGAACAGCAGGGCTGGACCGACGGGCTGCCGGTAGTGCCGGCCACCGAAGACCTGGTACGCCGAATGCTGTTGCCTTATGGCCAGGACCCTTCCGCCAGCCTTGGTGTGGTCCAGCCCAGGAATGCCGAAGTAACCCTGGAAAAGGTGGCCATAAACGCGGTGATGGCCGGCTGCAAGCCCGAACATTTTCCGGTGGTAGTGGCGGCGGTCCAGGCCGCCCTAAAACCCGACTTCAACATTGCCAGCGTGCAGGCTACCACTGGTGGCGCGGCACCGGCGGTAATAGTTAATGGGCCCCTCGCCAGAGAACTTGGAATTAACGGCGACTCCGGCTGTTTCGGCCCCGGCTACCGGGCCAATGCCGTAATAGGCCGGGCTCTCCGGCTCTTCGTGCGCAACGTTGCGGGACTTATCCCTGGCGAAATGGATAAGGCGACACTGGCTCTCCCTGCCCGGTACACCTTTTGCTTTGCGGAGAACGAAGAACGCAGTCCGTGGGAACCACGCCACGAGGAACTGGGCCTGGACTCCTCGGCCAGCATGGTGACGCTGATGGGCGTCCGCGGCATGTACACCATCATGGAAAGCACCTCGCCCAGTGGCATCCAGGTGTTGCGGACATTGGTGGGTTCATTGCGGACCATCGGTTTTTCCAACTATTACCAGACGGGCACCGGCGCGCAGATGGCTTTGGTCTTGTGCCCGGAGCATGCGGCGGAAGTTCACGCCTCCGGCCTCTCCAAGAAGGATGTCCGGGAATACGTTTTCCAGAACGCCAGGATGCCCCTGAGTCGCCTTAAGGGAATTGCCCACTATGGTAACCGCAATTGGCCCAAATGGATCGACGAGACCGACCCCGACGCCATGATTCCTATCGTTGGCTCGGCGGACGATGTGGTTGTAATAGTGGCGGGCGGCGACGGCCGGCATTCTGCCTGGCTGGCCGGCTGGGGTGTAACCAGGGTGGTAACCCAGGAAATTGAACTACCCCGTTAATTGAAGCCACCAACAGCGATTAGACAAACCGGCACTTAGCACGGGCCAGCAGTGGCCCACGCCGGTGGATACCTCCAGAGCATTTTGGCCCCGTTGGATATTTGTCCAGCGGGGCTTCTCTTTTTAGTTTCCCTGTTTCATAGAGTCGGCGCAGTGTCTGCCTGACTTGCAATCTGCTGTTGTCGGCGGTCCGGCAGTCCGCAACAGAAGTGGTCAAGAGGTGCAGTTAAATATGCGCGATGGCAGATTTTCCAAGCTTGCATCTCTTGTTTGCGTCCATTATTGATTCGACACCCGAATAGTGTGTGCAGGGGCTGGGTGAGGCATTTCACAATGCTAAATATCTATATTGTGTTTAATAATATTGAGAATAGTTTAAAATATAGGAACCAGAGACTTTGGCCGTTCTATCTGCTTAACTATGCCAATTGGTTAGACCAATAATTAAAGATTTATATCAATATACAAGAATATGATTATCTTTGTTTAGTATAAAAGCATTGACACTCGTTGTAAGTAGCGATATTATATATTTAGCATAGTTATGGAGGGCGACATGATTAACGAGCAAGCTTCAGCACTAAGCCTTGTCGAAGACGATAGTCCAAGTTGCCAGCATCACTGGGTAATCCAGGAAGCCGATGGCCCCATCAGCGTGGGGTTGTGTCGGGAGTGTGGCGCTTTCAAGGAGTTCAAGAACTACCTCGAGGCATCGCACTGGGGTGATGAGAAAGCCAAGGGTGAGTCCCGGGTAAGTTTACTCGGTACGCCCTCTCGCTCCCGCCCAATCCTCGAAGAGGATGATGAATTCTAGGATTCCCTTTAGTCCTCCTTTCTGCAATATGCAATATTCTGGGCTGTGAGCGTAGGGCGGGGTTCCTCCACCGGGTGTAAGGTTACCTTACACCCGGATTTCTTATTATCAGGGGCCCCGCACGCCGGCCCCGGTATCCCTCAGTCGTCTGTACTGACGCCAAGATTTCGGCCTTGAATCCGGTTAATTCACCAACTCCGTATCACGGCTACCGGCTAAGCCGGACTGCCATCTAATTTTCCCTTCCTTTTGCCTTGCCGAAATCCCAGAAGGTGTATTATCTTCAATAAGAACCCATAGTTTCGCCCATCCCACGGAGGCATCCGCCCTTTGTTCACTCACCTGCACACGCACACCGAATACAGCATGCTTGATGGCATCAGCCGCATTCCCGACCTCGTCTACCGGGTCCGGGACATGGGAATGGACTCCCTCGCCATCACCGACCACGGCAGCCTCTACGGCGCGGTGGACTTTTATTCGGAGTGCAAGGAAGCAGGGATAAAGCCCATCATCGGCTGCGAGGTTTACGTTGCCCATCGCAGTCGCCACGACCGCAGCGCCTCCGAACGCAGCCCTTATCACTTGGTCCTGCTGGCCCGGGATAACACCGGCTACCGTAATTTGATGCAGTTGGTAACCAAGGGGCACCTTGAAGGCTTTCATTATCGCCCCCGCATTGATTGGGAACTCCTGGAGCAATATCACCAGGGCCTGATCTGCCTCTCCGGCTGCGCCTCGGCGGAAGTGCCCCGGCTTATTGTTGACGGCGATACCGAAGGGGCCCGCCAGAAGGTCCTCCAGTACCGGGAACTGTTCGGGGATGGTTATTTCCTGGAACTGCAGCGCCACGAGCATGTGCCGCAGTTGCCGGCCATAAACGACGGCCTGACCCGGTTCAGCCAGGAGTTGGGTGTTCCCCTGGTGGTCACCAACGACTCCCACTATGTCCGACAGCATGAGGCGCCCTTTCAGGACCTGTACATCTGCATCCAGACCAATACCACGGTCCAAGACGAAAAGCGCTTGCGGATGGAGGACGACTCGTACTACGTCAAAAGCCCGGAGGAAATGGAGCGGCTTTTCTCCGACTACCCCCAGGCATTGGAAAACACCCGGTTGATCGCGGACATGTGCCACGTGGAGTTGGGCTTCGGACAAACCCACCTGCCCAAGTACCCAACGCCAGGTGATGTGCCCGCTGACGAATACCTTGCCCAGCTTTGTTGGGAAGGCTTCCGACGTCGCTATCCCCGGCCAACACCCGAGTCCGAGGAGCGGCTTAAGTACGAACTGGAGGTGATTCGTTATACCCAGTTCGCCAACTACTTCCTGGTGGTCTGGGACATCTGCGACTTCGTGCACCGCAACGGCATAATGTTTGGCGTTCGGGGCAGCGCGGCAGCCAGCGTGGCCCTCTACTGCCTCGGCATCACCGACGTCGATCCCCTGGAATATCGCCTGGTGTTTGAGCGGTTCCTTAACCTGGAACGCAAGGAAATGCCCGATATAGACATGGACTTCCAGGACGACCGGCGGGACGAAGTGCTCCATTACGTTATCGACCGATACGGCAGCGACCGGGTGGCCCAAATCATTACTTTTGGCACGATGGGCGCCAAGGCCGCCCTGCGGGACGTGGGGCGCAGCCTGGGCATGAGCTACAGCGACGTCGACCGGATAGCCCGCATGGTCCCCTTCAAGACTCGTACCATTCAGGACGCCCTGCGAGTCAATCCTGAACTGAGCAATACTTTCGAGTCTGATACAGCGGTACGCAGCCTGGTGGAAAATGCCCAGGGACTTGAAGGTATAGTTCATCACGTCAGCACCCACGCCGCGGGCGTCCTGATCGCCGACGAACCCTTGACGGAAACCGTGCCCCTGCAGCGTCCCACACGGGGTGACGAACAAAGTTCGGTGCTCATGACCCAGTACTCCATGGACCCGGTGGCCAAGCTGGGCCTGCTCAAAATGGACTTCCTGGGGCTGACCAACCTGACCATCCTGGACCGGGCAACAAAGCTGTTGGACGAGACCAGGGGTATCAAGATAGACCTCGGGCGCCTGCCGCTGGACGACAAGGAAACGTTTGAATTGCTTTCCTCGGGCAAGACAACCGACCTCTTCCAATTGGAAAGCGCCGGGATGCAGCGCTACATCAAGGAGTTGAAACCCTCCAACCTGGGTGACATCTCCGCCATGATTGCTCTCTATCGGCCTGGCCCAATGGAGCACATCGACACTTTTATCGAGGCCAAGCACGGGCGCGCGCCCATCACCTATCCCGACCCCAGCCTGAAAGAACTGCTGGACGAGACATACGGCGTGATCGTTTACCAGGACCAGGTGCTCCTGATCCTGCAACGGTTTGCCGGTTATACGCTGGGCGAGGCGGATACGGTACGGAAGGCCATGGGCAAGAAAATCGCCTCGCTGATGGCCGAAGAACGTGACCGGTTTATTGACGGCGCCCAGGGCAAGGGGTTTGAACGCCAACTGGCCATCCAGGTTTTTGACCTCATCGAACCCTTCGCCGGCTATGCCTTCAACAAGGCCCACAGCGTCAGCTATGCCCTTATCTCCTACTGGACGGCCTACTTCAAGGCCCACTATCCCCTGGAGTACATGTGTTCCGTCCTGAATTCCCGGCTGGATAATACGGACAGAATCGTCAGCTCCATCAACGAATGCTCCAAGCTCCAGATTCCGGTGTTGCTGCCGGACATAAACCGGTCCGGCGAGTTCTTTACCATTGACAAGGAAAGCGGGCCAACACCTTGCCTCCGATTTGGGCTTGCTGCGATAAAAACCGTCGGCGAAGGAGCCATCAGACCGCTGGTTGAGGAACGGAAGGAAGACGGCCCCTTCGAGTCCGTAGACGACTTTTGCCGCCGTGCTGACGTGAGTGGTTTGAACCGTCGGACCTTGGAAAGCCTGGTCAAGGCAGGTGCCTTCGATAGCCTTGGCTCCAGGGGCGCGGTTTACGGTGCCCTGGACCAGGTTATGGCATTCGCCCAACTGGAGACCCGCACTCGCAATTCCGGACAGACCAGCCTGTTTGGGGGCATGGAAGAATCCGACGCCCCCCAAATGACCGGCATTTCCCTCACCGGCCTGGATATTTCCGCCGAAGAAAAGGCTGCCTGGGAAAAGGAACTGCTGGGGGTGTCGCTCTCCTACAATCCCCTTATGGTCTTGGCAACGGCCGATACTGGCGACGGCATCAATTCCATAGACCAACTCGATGAAGACATGCAGGGCCTGACCTACACCCTGCTCGGCCATGTCGCCACCGTAAACGAACGCTATACTAAGGAACAGAAGAAATTCCTGGTGGTTAACTTTGAACTTCTGGGCGGCCAGATAGAAGTCCTGGTGTGGCCCGATGTGCTGGAACGCACTGCCGGAATGTGGGACACTGGGAAACTGCTGCGCACCACCGGGAAACTGCGCCTGCGGGGCGACGGCTACTCTCTGGCCTGTGATCAGGTTTCGGCCTTTGTGCCTCCTCCTGCCTCGGAAGTAATGGTCAATGCCGAATCCGCATCGGTGATGAAGGAAGCCAGGGCCCCCGCCCCCAGCCAGGGCAATGGTTACTCCGGCAACGGCAATGGCAATGGAAGAGAGGCGGCCCAGAACCAGCAGCGAAAGCCGGGTAACGGGACCAATGGCTCTAACCGTCACCAACCCAATGGTTCATACCGTACTTCCTCGGGCAATGGCAACGGTCACACCGGAAATGGTCGCGGCTATGGAGCCAATGGCGAGGCTGGCGCAACTACCGTAAGCATCGCCAACACCCGCACGGTTTTTGTCGGCATCATGGAATCCGATGATCCCATAGAAGATGCCCACCTGCTACGCGAAGTTATCTCACTTCTGTTGGAGTATCCGGGCAAGGACCGGGTCAACTTGGAGATCCACACCGGTGGCAGAAGGGTTGTGTTGGACTTGCCTGTTGTCAGCACCGGCTATTGCGAAGAAATGCGGGGCCGTCTGGAAGAATTGCTGGGCTCCAACTCCGTGCTATTGCAGGGCGCTGAAGGGCCGGACGTGGACGACGTTCCTTTCTAAAACTGTATACTCGTACTAAACCGCTTCAACCTCTGTGAGGAGTTAACTGGGTTCCCCCTTACATTCAAGTATGTTCGGCTGCTCCTAATGGACCCGTTGCGTCATACTCCGGACACCTACCTCGTTTATTGGCCTTACCGGTAAATGATCAGACAACTCTTGCGGATTCATCCCGAGTAAGTCCCATTCCTGTCTACGATTTGCCCCCGGCGGCATACCCGTCTCATTGCCTTGTGTGCTGGCAATCGGAGTCAACGGAGATCAGCCTTGTCCCATCAGCGGTCTGCCTGACTTTACATAAACAAGGTAAATGGAATTTTGACGTGATATACAGGGTGTGGTAAAATCCTAACATAGGTCTATTGCGCCATTTTTTTGGAAGTGTAGCGGCAAAGTCCGTTCCTTCCTCTGTCCCTCGTGTTAGCTGCTTTTTGGTTCCCGTCCCCATAAATATTTTGTGATTGGGTAAGAGGTAAGCGGCTCCGGTTATTGAGCCAATTGTATGACTGTTGTCGACGACATAAAAGGCCGCCTGGACATCGTGGATGTGGTATCCGGGTATGTGTCTTTGCAGCACTCGGGAAAGGCCTTCAAGGCTTGCTGCCCTTTCCACCAGGAAAGAACGCCCTCCTTCTACGTTTACCAGGACCGCCAGTCGTGGCACTGCTTCGGCGCCTGCGCCACGGGTGGAGATATCTTCGGATTTGTAATGAAGGCGGAGAGCCTGGATTTCAGGGATGTACTCCAGAAGTTGGCCCAACAGGCCGGGGTAACGCTGCCCAGCCCCGAACGTCGCTCCGAGCAGGAAGACTCCTTCCGGCTCAACGAGGTTGCCCGGGAATACTTTCAGCAATACCTGGCTTCTTCCATGGGCGCCGATACGCGGTCTTACCTTGAGCAGCGGGGGATAAGTAAGGAAAGTATCAGCAAGTTTGAGCTGGGCCTGAGCCCGCGCGATGGGCAGGGCCTCTTTAATCACCTGGTGAAATATGGCTTTACTCCGGACCAGATGGTGCGGGCCGGCGCAGTACACCAGGGCCAGGGTCAGAGTGGAGGCCACCGCGATGCCTTTCCGGGGCGGCTTATAATACCCATTCGCAACGGGCAGGGCGAATTGGGCGGCTTCGGCAGCCGGGCTCTGGACGATTCCATGCCCAAGTATTTGAACACCGGCCGCACCCCTGTTTTCGACAAGGGACGAACGCTTTACGGCCTCTATCTGTCTCGAGAGTCGGCCCGGCGCCAGGGCATCGTAATAGTTGAAGGTTACATGGATGCCATTATGGCCCATCAGCACGGGTTCGATAACGTGGTAGCCTCTATGGGCACCGCCCTGACCGAGCATCAGGTGACCGAGGTGCGTCGTCTCACGGCGGATGTGACGATGGCCCTCGATGCCGACGCTGCCGGTCAACAGGCGACCCTGCGCAGCCTGGAATCTTCCTGGCAGGTCTTCCAGAATCGGGAACTTGCTCAGGCAGGGAGAACTTCGATTTTCCAGCGCCAGGAGACCCTGAACTTGAAGGTGGCGGTCCTTACCGATGGCAAGGACCCCGACGAGGTTATCCGCCAGTCCCCGGACAAGTGGGAGGAACTGCTACGAAACGCAGTTCCGCTTTTCGACTACCTGCTGCCCGCGGTGACGGGCCAGATCGACGCCTCGACGCCTGAGGGAAAGGCGCGGGTCGTGGAAGTGATCAGCCCCTTCATATTCGCCGTTGACGAACCGATCCGGCAGGACAGCTATGTGCGCAGATTGGCCGGTCACCTGGGGCTGAGGGAGGAAACCCTTCAGGCTACACTGGATCGCCCCAGCATGAGGGCAAGGCCGGCACGTCCCGCCCCCGGCCCAAGGACGGAGGCGAGGCCAGCGTCCAGAAACGGAGTGGATGTATCCGCGTTTACGGCGGCAGACCGCGATCCAATGGAAGAATATTGCCTCGCTCTGCTGCTCCAGTTCCCTGAGTTGCAGTCGGAATTGACCGAGCCCGGAGACCTGCGCCCCGAGCACTTCAGGCGTCCGGGAAATCGTGAGATCTATCTGCAATTGGCCCGGGCATGGTCCGAGGCGCCCGAAATGTTGGTCCCCGACGACAGCCTGGCGGAACAGGTAAAGCGAAACGTCATTCCCGAATTGCGCCAGCAGGTGGACAGCCTTGCCGCCAGGGGAATACCATCTACTGACTCTTGGCTCAGGCCAGCGGAACTACAAAGAATTATTAGTCGTCTTGAAGAACGGTACCTTAGAGATTTGAAAATGGCCGAACAAGCCCGTTTTACCGAAAATCCGTCGGAACTACTGGAGGACTTGGGCCAGGAAACCCTTATATTGAACAGGAGGATAAAAGCCAACCAGGAAATCAGAAATCAGCATTCTCAAAATGCATTTCGTGGAAGGTGACACTATATGGTTAGACGCAGTAATGTCAGTCGGGATATCAACTCCGAAGAAGACTACTATGAGATTAACGAAGATCGCACGGATAAAGACAAGTATCTGGGGATCCTCGGCGGTGTAGTCAAGGAGGACGATGACCTGGCTGATGGCTCCGGCATAGCGGTCAGCACAATTGCGGTGGTTGTGGAATCTCCCGACGACCAGGATGAACAGTGGGACGGTCGGCCGGTAGAGTTGAAGCCCTCGGACACCGTTGATGAAGGGCCCGCCGACACCGAAATTGAAGAAGAGGAAGAGGGAGATGAACCGATTGGGAGGCCGAGGCCGAAAGCCTTCAGGTGCTGGACGATCCGGTCCGGATGTACCTTCGCGAGATCGGCCGGGTAGGCCTGTTGGCTGCCAAGGACGAAAGGGAATTGGCCCGCAAGCTGGAGGGTGAAAAACAACTCCTGGCTCTGAGCAAGGAAGTGCTCGGCGAAGAATATTGCCAGACCCTCGAAAGGGAAGTTGCCGAAGAACGGCGGGCTCCCGACTTTGGCTTCCGCGGCGAAAAGGTTGAGGTTGGTCCGCTCCGTAGCCCCGACATGCTGAACAAGAAGATCAGGAAGGAGTTCAACGATAGCGGGCGGAACTGGGAATTGAACGAAGCCCTGCTGCGCCGCCTGGTTAGTTCAACTACGCTGGTTGATGCTCTCAGCGACTATCTGGAACTGCCTCGCAATCTCTCCCTGTCGCAGCTGATTAATGAACCGGTTCTGGCCGATGCAATCGATGCTCAGGTTTCAGAAGAAATGCTGCTCAGCCTCGCCGAAACGCTGGAACTGGAGCGGGACGAGGTCTATCGACGTGTGGTTGCCCTCTCGCTGGACCGTTGGATTCTTTCCCCGGACACTATTGATATCTTGAAAGACTGCACCCTGTTGCAGTTGGATGCAACCTTCAGCGAAGTTGGGTCACTGCCGGAACTGGCCAAATACGAGCCCCCTGTTCCGCCGCCGCTTCACTCACGTCAAAGCCGAGGGTGAAAGGGCCCAGGCCCATTTGACTGAAGCTAACCTGCGCTTGGTGGTCAGCGTAGCCAAGAAGTACATAGGTCGCGGCATGGCCCTGCTGGACATGATCCAGGAGGGTAACATCGGCCTGATTCGCGCCGTGGAAAAGTTTGACTACCGCAAGGGCTACAAGTTCAGCACCTACGCCACCTGGTGGATTCGGCAGGCCATAACCCGGGCCATTGCTGATCAGGCCCGAACCATCCGGATCCCGGTGCACATGGTGGAGACCATTAACAAGCTTATGCGCCAGCACCGAAGGCTCCTCCAGGAGTACGGTCGGGAACCCACACCCGAGGAAATCGGCGCTGCCATGGAGATCGGCCCGGAAAAGGTCGAGGAGATTATGAAGATCTCCCAGGAACCCGTCTCGCTGGAGACGCCCATCGGTGAGGAAGAGGACTCGCATCTGGGCGACTTCATCGAGGACCGTACCGCGCCGGCTCCGGCCGACGCTGCGTCCTTCCAATTGCTTAAGGAGCAGGTATCTGAGGTCCTGGGCACCCTGACCGATCGGGAAAGCCGGGTGCTGCAGTTGCGGTTTGGTCTGGAGGACGGCCGGAGCCGAACACTGGAAGAGGTCGGCAGGGAGTTTGGGGTCACCAGGGAGCGAATCCGCCAGATCGAGGCTAAGGCTCTGCGCAAGCTGCGCCATCCCTCCAGGTCCAGGAAGTTGAAGGATTTCCTCGAGTAAAATTTAACTGGAAGACAAGCCGAATCAGCAGCAGGGAAGGGGGCCATGGCCCCCTTCCCTTTTCATTTTATGGACGATTCAGAGAGGTTTGCAAACCGTAGATTGAAGCTCCGGGAAGGTGTCAAACTCGTAAATAGAGGCTCAAATAATACCTTGTTGGCTAGCAAAACAGGGTGCTATACTCGGCATATTCGAATGGTGGGGGTGATGACGTGGATGAACAAACGCTGCCCAAATGCCTGAAATGCAACGAAGGTCAACTCGTACCGCTTTCCGACTATGGCGGTCAGGGTGCCTCGGTGCACTACAAGGCATGGGTTTGCATCAATCCTCCTTGTGGCTTCAATATCAAGATCCGAAACGGCGACATTTACCTGAATGAGCCGATAACCCCTGGTGGTATGAACTCGTCCCGAGCCCGTTAGTTGGGTTCGTTCCTTACTTCCGAGAGGTTCCCAAGATTTCTTCCGGTGGTGGGGTGGTGTTGGGTTAGGTGAGAGAAGAAGAATGGGGAACTTGGATCTGTTCGGGTTATTCTAAAAGTTCTCTTCTTTATTATTTCTTTCTGGCTGTGGGGTATTTATGGAAGCTGGTTACGACTACACTTTAATGGGCAGCCGACCCCAGGGTAACGCGAAGTATCTGCCCGCGTTGTTTGTATCGGTTTTGGCAGGTGTCCTGCTGATCTCGGGCGTGGCCTACTATGGGTTTTCGTCGGACGCCCGGGCCGACCAGGCAGCGCAAGTAGCTGTTCTGGACGCAGTCGATGGCTCCTCTGTTGGTGACGGGGAAACTGGCGCGACGTCAGGCACGGTAAAGTACACACGGTATCTTTCTCCGGCATCTGCGGACGAAATAGCGGGTCAGCAACTCTACCCGGCGGGGTTCTCAGATCCTGAGTTCTGGGTTAATCCGCTGGGGTACGAAGAGTAAAAGGCACCTGTGCAATCCCGGTAAGGGGCTGCGTCCAACAGGGTCAACAACTGAATCCGGACCAAGGCAAGGGGGCGGGAATCATGATTCCCGCCCCCAATCTGTTTACAGTCCCTTTGCCAGTTCGTATCCTTTAACCCCGCAATAAGCTCACTCGGCCACGCTATACGGGAGCCCGGTCCTTGGCTCTTATGCGGACTTTGTTAATGCGACGCCCCAGCACAGACATAATCTCAATGTTCAGGGTGTCGGTCTCAACGATGTCTCCCACTCGAGGCATCCGGCCCAGGCACATGTAAACGTAACCGCCGATGGTGTCCACGTCGGGGTTGTCCAGCTTGCCGCCAAACATTTCCTCGACGACGTCGTTGGTCACACTGGCGCTAACCAAAACAGCTCCGTCTTCTTCCTTTTCAATCTCGGGATCCTCAGTCCTGGAGAATTCGTCCTCAATTTCCCCGACAATTTCCTCCAGCAAATCTTCCAGGGTAATGATTCCCTCAGTCCCACCGTACTCATCCACTACAATAGCCATCTGTACGGCCTTCTGCTGAAATTCCTCCAGCAAAACGTCCAGTCGCTTGGTCTCGGGAATGAAGTAAGGCTGGCGCACCAAGTCGCTCAGGGACGCCTCGGACCAGTTGTCCTTGGTGAGAAGCTGCAGCAAGTCCAGGGAATGAATGATTCCCACTATGTGATCAATAGTATCTTTGTAGACCGGTATTCGGGTGTGGCCACTCTTGATGATGGGTTCGACGGCTTGCCCCACCGGAGTGTCTATTTCCAGGGCTATCACGTCCAGCCGGGGGACCATTACTTCGTGGGCCGTAGAGTGGTCGAGTTGTATTATCGAACGCAACATCTCCCGGTCGTGCCGGTCCATGCCCACTAGTTCTTCTTCGGTAATGTCCAATGTTTCCGACTCTGCCCCACCGTCAATCTCGTTCCTCGAGTTCCCGTTTCCTGTCCCTGACCCTCCATTGCCGATACGACCCTCGCCCCGGCGTAGTACTGCAATTAACGGGGAAGAAAAGCGGGCTACGAGTCCTTGATTGCGGACGGCTATTGCCGACGCCAGTCTATGAATCAGGGTAAGGAGGAGCAGCGAGACCACGAAAACAATGGCTGCGTCCAACCACACCAGGGTAACGTAATGACGAACAATGGAAAAGCCGGAAAGGACAATGGCGACGATACATGCGTACTTAAGAGGGGATATTAGAAACCAAGCCCTCTGGTTCGGCGAGTTGTCCCTAAGGATACTGCCGCCATTACCTCCTGCGTGCTCTGCCAAGCTCAGGAAGCTAAAGAGGAAAAGAAAACCGAGCACTATTAATAATGGAGGTAAACTATCAGTATCCAATAGTTATTCTGTGGAATCCGTCCGATCTATTTGAGGCTTCCTTGTCATTATTCTAGCAGGAACACCCACTGCCAGCAAATCGTCTGGAACATCCCTGTTAACCACCGCCCCCGCCCCGGTAGCGGCGCCGCTCCCAACGGAAACAGGGGCAACCAGCAAGGTATCACACCCTATGAAGGCTCCGTGGCCGATCTCGGTTCGGTGTTTGTCTTTCCCGTCGAAGTTGCAGGTTATGGTCCCGGCGCCGATGTTCGTTCCAGCGCCAATGCTGGCGTCTCCCAGGTAGCTGAAGTGACCGGCCAAGACTCCTTGACCCAGGCGACTCTCTTTTACCTCCACATAGTTGCCAATGTGGACGCCTGATTCCAGGTAAGCGCCCGGCCTTAAGTGGCTGAAGGGTCCAACGTCAACTCCGTCCTCGAGAGTGGCTTCTTCCAGCATCGATGCCGTAACCCTGCAGCCGCTGGCGATGGTCGAGTCCTGGATTATCGAGTTGGGCCCTATCTCGCAGTCTTCGCCAATCCTTGTCCGGCCCAGCAGGGTGGTATTGGGTCGAATCACCGTGTCCTGTCCGATGGCAACGTCAGCGTCAATGTAAACCGAAGCAGGGTCCTGGACCGTGACCCCCGACCTCATCAGTCGCTCTATAACCTGCCATTGCATAACCGCCTCTACCTGGGCCAGTTGCACCCGGTCGTTGACGCCGAATATCTCTTCGGGCATTTCGCTGGCAACACCGTCAACCCGGTGTCCCTCACTGGCGGCAAGGGACACGAGGGAAGTAAGGTACTTTTCACCGTTGGTTGTCGGCTGGAGCCCTTCCAGGCATCGGGCCAGCCATTGCCGTTCGAAGCAGTAAACCCCGGCGTTAACCTCTGTCGGATCATATTGGTCGCCCTTCCAGTCCGTTGCCTCAATCAGGTCCATGACCTGGCCCGTTTCATTTCTTACGATTCTTCCCAGGTCTGGAGCCATCATGTCAGCTGCCGTAAGCAGGGTCATCTGGTTGCCGAGTGACTCATGACTGTCGATCAACTGGCGCACCGACTCCAGCCGAATCAGTGGCGAATCGCTGCCCAGCAGCACCAGGTTCATCACGTCAGGAGGCAGAGCGCCCACACCCCATGCTGCAGCGTCCCCGGTCCCCAATGGCTCCGGTTGGATAACATAGTCGGCATCATCGCCAAGGAGTTCACCGATCATTGGTGCGGTCGTTGGTGAGGCCACGATTACAATCCGCCCGACACCCATTGCTTGGAGCAATTCCACCGGGTAGCGAATCAGTTCCTTGCCGCAGACCTTGTGCAGCGGCTTCGGAATTTTCGACACCATCCGGCGTCCCTCACCTGCGGCCATAATGACTCCGGCCCAACCTTCCATGTCTTCACCTCAGGCTATTAAAGTGAACAGGGAGTGAATAGGTTAAGTAGCGCAGCCCTTCCCCAATCATAAGTGAGTTCTTGTTGCGCGTACCTGGCCCAAGTTTGACAACCCCATAGCGGGAAGCCAAAATTAGGCTTGATTTCCCCCGTTACAAATCCTCAATTGAAGCCGTCCCTATTCTACACCACGCCCTACCCCGATCCAGGAGGTGTTTCATGGCCGACCTGACGGAAGCAGATCTCTTGACTCTTGCCCGTGCCTCGGGAATAACTATTCCCCCGGAGCTGTTGGCAGAAATTGGCTACAGTCTTAACGGCGTCCTCGAGGCTCTGGACCGGATCGAAATTCCGGGGCTGGACGAAATCGAACCTCTGCCCATAATCTTGCCAACCCCATCCACCGACGCACCCTGAAGGAGGCCAGGACAATGAATAAGCAGGAAATTCCCTTTCTTTCCGCTACCGAACTGGCTGGCCTGATCAGGTCACGCGAGGTCTCACCGGTGGAGGCCACCGAGGCTTACCTGGAAAGAATCGCCCAGGTAGATGGCAAGCTCAACTCCTATATCACAGTATGCAGTGACGAAGCCCTGGCCGCAGCCCGTCAGGCCGAGCAGGAAATAGGGTCTGGCAACTACTGCGGCCCCATGCACGGAATCCCGGTGGCGGTCAAAGACCAGCTCAACAGCCAGGGCATACGCACCACCGGAGGCTCTTCCATCCTGGCAGATAACGTACCCGACGAAGATGCCACGGCCATTGCCAGGCTCAAGGAAGCCGGATCTGTCTTACTGGGCAAACTAAATATGAGTGAATTCGCCAGTGGCGATGCCTTCCACCATCCGTACGGCCGCCCCCGGAATCCTTGGGACCTGGACCGAAACCCCGGCACATCAAGCAGCGGGTCCGGGGCCGCCACTGCCGCTTTCCTGTGCGCCACCTCCCTCGGTGAAGATACTGGAGGCTCCATCCGGGGCCCGGCCACGTTCTGCGGACTTGTCGGGATTCGGCCAACCTGGGGACGCGTCAGCCGCTATGGGATGCAGGCGGCGGCTTGGTCAATGGACACCGCAGGACCAATCTCCCGCACCGTTTCCGATTGCGCCATGACCCTGGAAGCCATTGCCGGCCACGACCCGAAGGACCCATATACGTGGGACACGCCTGTGCCTAATTACCAGGCCAACTTGTCAGACGACATCAGGGGTCTGAAGGTAGGCGTGGTAAAAGAACGGGTATACACCGACGTGGTTGATTCCGAAGTAGGGGAGTCGGTCATTCGGGCCATAGCCCGCCTTGGTGAACTGGGCGCGGACATAGAGGAAGTCTCCCTTCCAATGATGGTCCACTCCGCCGCCGTTTCCAGCTTGATCATAATGGTAGACGCCGCCTCTTTGCACAGGGAAGGCCTCGCCACTCACCTGGACCAGTACGATTACAACAACCGGATTAGGCTGCTGGCTGGCAGCATCGTCCCGGCCCAGGCGTACCAGCGGGCTCTCAAAGCCCGCCAGGCCCTGCGCCAGGAAATCTTGGATGCCCTTAACCAGGTGGATGTGCTGGTCATGCCTACCTCGTCCATTCCCGCCTCCCTGATACCTGACAGGGCTGGCATCAACAGCAAGCAGGAAGTCCTGGACGGTTACGCCGGCCGCCGCAGCTTCACTTCACCCTTCAACCTCGCCAGCGTGCCAGCGCTATCAGTGCCCTGCGGGTTCACGGGAAGCAACCTGCCCATAGGCCTGCAAATAGCCGGCCGCCCCTTCGACGAGCAAACGGTGTTCAACACGGCCTACGCCTACGAACAATCCAACGACTGGTACAAGATGCACCCGGACATTTAGGTCGAAGCCTGTGGGCGTATAATGGAAATAATTCTCGGGTTCATGAAAAAAACCTTGGTTCAAAGCAGGTGCGCCATGTCAATGGATAAATACACCATGGACGAAGTTTGTGACCGGGGAGAGCAGATTTACAAGAATCATATCAAGCGCTTTGTGGAACCCCAGGAAAACGGTAAGTTTATCGTGATTGATATTGAGAGTGGCGATTATGAGATAGACGAGGAGGAATTGGAGGCTTTCGACCGGCTAAAGATTCGAAGGCCTGTGGCCGAAACTTTTATGACCAGAATTGGGTGCTGCGCCGCATATCATTTGGGTTGGGGCGGAGCCAAGTTCAGTGATTAGGGGACGGGTGTCAAGCGGCAGGGAAATTATCGTGCCCCTTGATATAGGAAAGGGTGACGGGAGGTTTGAGGCAATTGAAGCAGTCTTGGATACTGGATACAGCGGGTCTTTGACTTTGCCATCTTACATAATTGGGCGTCTTGGTTTGGAGCTAATTAGCCGAATAAGCGTTAC